GCCTGTTTGCTTGCTCTCTTTGTGCCATGCTGAGGAGCCAGCGTGTTATTGCTGGCTGCCTGGAAAAGCCCGGGTGCCTGCTGAATTTCTTTCTTTCCCCTCCCCCACAAAACAAACACACAGCAGCTGAAGGCTTGGAGAAACAGTATTCACTCCTGTAGGGGGGCAGAATTTTTCTAGACACATGCAATGGACTTTTAGGAGCAGTAATACAAGACTTGGCTGGGCTTATATGGGAATCCTTTCCACACCTGTGGGGTTGTGCATGGACACACTTGCCATTAGCCAAAAGCTCATTACAAATGGCACTCAAGACGTACTCGCGTACTGAAAGACCCTTTGGTGTGAACCCAGAGCCCCCCAGCTCGCACACTTGCTCCAGGAACATGAGTTTCTGTTGGCCCTCACTGATCTGGTCAGACCGGCAAGAGAGAGCACGGTGGGCAGGGGGAAGTAAGAGCCAGATGGGGCGAAGGAGGAAAGGAGTTCGGGACGCAGTTTTCTCCTACCCCGAGTTACCTCACTAGGTTCAAAATGAAGTCTACTAAAAACTGAACTGCTCTGGCTAGAGAGTGGAACCAGTGAAAAATGAAGATTTTTAAATATTTAAGACCCCCTCTTTCTCCTGTCTGTTGTTAAAAGAAACTTCAGCGATTCTGCCTTGGCCATCAAAATGTCCTTCATTTTTCTGCTTTTGGGGCTTTTTTTTCAGTCTGGATGAGGCAGAGAAGAGAGTGGGAGGGAAGGAGAGGGGGGCTGGGAGCAGAAGTTTAACAAAGGATCACTTTAACAGAAACTACTGAGTAATCGCTCTGTCCTGGGCCAAGAATAACATCAGCTCAATGTCAGCAATTAGAATCAGGTCAGCTGGGCCTCACAGCCGGTGCGGACCTCCTCGCAGCCCCCCAGCACGAGGGCTACTCATGCTGATGTCACCAGCAGTCGCTGCTGCCCGAGAAAGTCCCCCGACGCAGCTGAAAGAAAAGTGTTCTAGCCTTCTTCGGGGGCAGGAAGCCGGAATGAGAAGGAAGGGGGTTAGCAATGAGTGTAAACCAGAGAGAAGACACACACCCGCATAGATCAACACATAACGGATTCATTTCACCACCCCGAGCCGACTTCTGTCACGTCTCCAACCACCCTGACAGTCCCGTGACATGAATGAATATATATGTGAAGCACCGGGAACAGGGCTGCGGCCACAGTGCTCACTGAATGTTGGCTATCACTATCAAAAACAAAGAGGGAGGAATCTGTCCCCTTACTTATCTTCTAGCCACCATAAAACTTGCAGCCGGAGCAGTGATCGCTGAGCAAAACGTACCCTGATAAGAAAAATGTACACGACGGTTCTCGAGTCTGGAAAACTTATTTATAAGGAGACTGTGGCAGATGGAGTGAACAAGATGGAAACAAAGTTCCTATAAAACAATGAGTGCCTGAAATTTTATAAGGCCAACACTAAGTTTTAACATTTTCGGTCACCCTGCCAAAGGACAGAGAACAAGTCACTGAAGAGGAGATGTTTGTAATCGCTTTCTCTGTAGCTCAATGGTTCTCCAAGTGTGGTCCCTCAAAGACAAACATTGGCATTACCTGGGGCAAAGGTTAGAACTGGAAATAATTGAGCCTCATTCCCAAACTTACTCAATCAGAAATGGGGTGGGGTTAGCGATCGGTGTTTTAACAGGCCCTCCAAGTGGCTCTGTTGCTCATAATCAGGGGTCCACAAACTAGGGCTTGTTAGACAAATCCGGCCTGTTGCCTGTTTTTAATAAATACATTTTCACGGGAGAAGAGCCACACTCATTCATTTCCATACTGTCTACGGCTGTTTCCATCTTACCGTGGCAAAGCTGAGTAGTGGCCACAGAGACTCTATGGACTACGAAGCCTTAAGTATTTACTATCCGGCCATTTACAAAAAAAAGTTTACTGACCCCTGTCTGACTTAGGATGATTTCTTTAAAACTGCTGGTTTTACTCATCAGTGTGTAAAAGTGCATGGTTTCCATTTTGCCTTACTTTGTTTATCCTGCTCTCTGTCAAATGGACCAGATTACATCTATTTCCTTGTTCCTCAGTCCCTGGAAATCCTGCCCATGGCTCTCGGTGACTTCCTCTCCGATGCCCATGTTACAGTTCCAGTCTCACTCTTTTTTTTTTTTTTTTTAAGATTTTATATATTTATTTGACAGAGAGAAACACAGCGAGAGAGGAACACAAGCAAGGAGACGGGAGAGGGAGAAGCAGGCTTCCTGCCAAGCAAGAAGCCCGAAGCGGGGCTCGATCCCAGGACCCCAGGATCATGACCTGAGCTGAAGGCAGATGCTTAACGACTGAGCCACCCTGGTGCCCCTAGTTGAAGTGGATTCAGTGCATGACACTTTCTCAGTTTATGAGTGCAACGCCAGACAGAGATGAAGATCAAACCTTACGCGGCATGAATGGTTAGAGATGTCTATTTCCGAACATATCCCGAATCAGAGTTTCCCTTCTTGAAATCAATACCTTTAATAAGCTGGCTACCTAAGTGCAGAAAGGGATGGAGAACTTCCTCTATGTGTAATGCAAGAAAGGTTGCATGATGTTTCCCAAAAATATTTTTAGAGAATCACTATGAAAGCCACAGTCCATGCATAAAATCAATATAATTCGATATGCTACAGTACAATAGAACAGAAAGCCCCCTTTAATGACCCGATCCACAGGTATCTCTTATGGCTGAATGTTAAGTAAATTAGATTCCAATTCTACCCTCCAACAGACAATTAACCAAATTGTTACTTATATCAATGGCAATGGATAGTTCAGAAGAATGAATCCAAAACATAAGGAGTTCATCAGAGAAACCATCTCTATTAACCCAAGGGCAGAAACACAGAGAATGCGAAGCAGGCTTCCATCAACTATGTGGTGATAATTATAATGGTTGAGTCTAGCACAGCCATAAGGTAGGCTAGAAAAAGAGGCTTAAAATCCAGGGGACATTTAATATCTTATTTGCTATTTTCTTAGTTATAAAACTCTTCAAGCTACGAATTTAGTTTCTTTAGCTCTCCCATAGTCCCAGAACCTCACCCTGACTCATTTTTACCTAAATCGGCTATGGGTTAGAAGAACAGAGGGAAGAAACAAATGATGGTATAAACCTATATAAAATTATGATGAATGCTTTTCTGTTCCCTCTCCAGGAGACACGAGATAACTCCCTTCTTGGGAGTTCTAACTCCTCCCTAAGACAGATACTCTGACAGATTCTAAAAACATGTTTTCCATATACTTCATAGTTCAGTGAAACTAAACCAGTATAATCCTCACTGGAAAAAAAAAAAAATCCACACAAGAGCAGTACTCTGAATTTTCAAAGGAATGTGAGTCACTGGAAGTTAATCAAAAGAATGAGAAGGGCTTTTACATGAAGCAGTTTCTAAAAGTGGAAATCAGTAAAATGGTCTCTCTTTCCCCCAAACTTCAATGCCCCACAATCACTTTAAAAATCATCACCATTTCAAGGTATGGAAGCATGAAAAGGGCCCGACTGTCTAGATTCATTAGATCATCGATTATGCTCACGTAAGGGAAATGAGGCTGTTTCTGAGACCTCTGCTGTCCAGGATCTGATTAAGCTGGCATTCTCAAGTACCCTGCATGATGAGAAGTTCAGAAGTTCACAAGGTTTAAGAAATTAAATAGATTTAAAAAAATCTAAGATAACATTTATATCTACAATTCTGAAATGTAAACTGCCTATCCCAAGGACTTTCTAAAGGAGGATGGAGGGCAGTGTGGTGATCAAAATGAGATGCTACATTCCATGCTTCCCAGGTAAGGAGTCTGGATTTTCCTCCAGTAAAAATGACCTACTGAACTACTTCACAACTACTGACATTTGCAATTTCTCATAAATTACACTGAGTTAATATAATATAGAGAGCACACCAGCATAGAATGAGATGAGCACGTAGTGAATGAAATAAAAATAATAAAATGTCTGGATCTGGACAACAGCTGAAAAGGTTAAGTAGACACAGACAGCATAATGGCAATTGCTTTATTTAGAGGAGAAGAAAAAACTTTGGGAAACGCTGCCTTAGCCCTTGAGTGAATATTAATTTTGCACAAACTAATGCACACTACGTATTACATGTTTATAAGAGCAAATAGTAAGAAATCAAACGGATATATTTCTTCAAGTAACCAGATAAAAGGGCAGCTCATGGAATCAGCACTGATTTAGCCCAAAACAACATGTAGAACGTAGTAATTGATTCTAATGATAATCCTGAAATCATCAAGAAAAAGTTAATGCTATAAGGGCTGAATTTTTGTGAAGTCATACTTTCCCTGTAATTTGGGCCCCACTGACACACTAGTACCATGCACTTACACAGCTCCCTCGTGCATACCCTCAGGAGTTTCTGTCACTGTAGCGACAATGAAGAGGAAACCAATGTTTCACAAGTTTTGTGTACTGTCAAACCAGAAGACCAAAAGCCAAACTTACGTCCATTTCCTATGAGAAGAACTTGAAACATTATTTATACCTTGAAAATTCTGATAGGTCATGAAGGATTAACGTGTGCTTATGTGAACCAAGTGTGTAATGATAAGGGAATAGTACATTTAGAAAAAAAAAATTGCTTCAAAGGCTAACTCTTAGGTAGATGGAAAGTAGATCCTCTGGGAGCTTACTGAATTACCACCATGCAACAGAAAGGGGAAACGCTCAAGAGATTTCTAAAGAAAAAATATTCAAAGGAACGAAAACGTCAAAACTGGATCAGTGTTACATCCCAGCGAAGCCAACATCATGGCTTCAGAACATTTCTTCCGTTAGAGGAGACTCTCCAAGAGTTGTCCGAGCCATGGGGGTGTTGGTAAACCCTGGGGAAAGTGTTCCTACCTTTCCCACGGATCTTACTCCACCCCTCCACACCCACCCCCGACCCCTCTTAGAAGGACGATCCTAGCACATGGAAAAGCCGTATCTGAATCACCTGGTGCCGGGCTCGACTCTGGTCCAGAAGCTGCTGGGACTGAAGTTTCTGTTGTTCAAGCTGCTGCAGGGCAAAGTGGAGTTGGTAGCTGCCCGCCGTGGGGTGGTACTTGTGCTGCGGGACCACCCCTGTAGCCTTGCTATACGCGTTGTTTTCTACCTCTCCCTCCCAGGCAAAGCCACCTGTTTGAAGGCTCCTGGAAAGAAAAGAAAGCAGATTTCTTAAGAGAGGTTGTAGGAACAACGTAACAGAAAAGAGAAGTATCACAGGTGGTATTTTTCCTGTGTAGAGCCAGGCACAGTGCGGGATTACAAATCTACTTGTGTGATAAATGATCTGAACTGTATCTCCGTGAAGACAAAGTCAGGGTCAGCTCTGCTCTCCGTTCTAGTCGTAGCACTTATCCCGAGGCCTGGCACGTGCTCCGTGTACAGTATCTGGTGAAGGTTAAATAATGTATCCGGTGAAGGTTAAATAATGAAAATAGTTCCTTCAGTTCCCCTGTGATGGCCACAGGGCTTCCGAGAGGAGCCAGGAGCTTCCGGTGTAGGATGGCAAGCTAAATGTCAGGTAGGGACAGAGGCCAGTCATCTTCTCTAAAGTCAACTTCAAATATATAGGGGTGAATTATACAGAATTCATGGTTTTTCTTAACCACCCATTAGTGAGCTCATGCATCCCTCACGGGATAAAATAACTGGTCTGAGAAGATTCTTTTTTCATTATTCTAAATTTACCTCCGTGGAGTCCCCAGCCAAGCTGAGGATTAGCCTGTGCGTCTGAAGAAGGTGAAGGGCTGGTGGCCTTTGGGACTGTTCAGTACCCATGCTAGGCTCTTTATTATATACTCTGACTTTCTTTGTTGCCCACATTCCAAAGTTTTAGATTCTGGTGACCATGTCTGTGTATATCCCAGCTGAAGTCTTCATAACTACAGGCCTACACTTGCCCTCTCAGTCTGTTTCTTCCAAGCAGAAAAGTCCCCATTTATACCACTCCATACCCATTAGGATGGCGACTGTTAAAAATAAAACAAATGAAAAAAAAAAACAAATGCTGGCCAGTGTGAGGAAACACCGGAACTCCTGTGCATTGCTGGTGGGCACATGAAACGGTGTAGCTCCTGTAGAAAACATGCCGGCAGTTCCTCAGAATGCAAAACACAGGACTGCCAAGTGATCCGGCAATTCCCCCCCACCCGCCAGGTACGTATCCCAAAGAGGGGCCTCAGACACTTGTACACCAATGTTCACAGCAGCATTATTCCCAACAGCCAAAAGGTGAACACATCAACAGGTGAATGGATAAACAAAATGTGATCTATACATACAATGAAATATTACCCTTAGAAAAGAAAGAAATATTGACATGTTACAACATGGATGAACCCTGGGGACAACATACTACATGAAATAAGTCTATCACTAAAGGACCAAAGTTGCATGATTTCACTTTTGTCAGGTCCCTAGGAGAGTTAAGTTCATAGAAACAGAAAGTAGAATGGTGGTTGCTGGGGCTGGGGAGATAGTAGAATTGTGAGTTACTGCTTAGTGGGTATTGAGTTTTTAATTTGGGATGACAAGAAAGTTCTGGAATGGATGGTGGTGATGCCTGCACCAACTGTGAATGTACTATATGCCACTGAATTATACACTTAGAAATGGTAAATTTTAGGTTGTATGTATTTCCTCACTGTTTTTAAAAAAAGGTCCCCATTAATTTTTAGAACAGTCTTACCTGGCAGCCCTTTTCTCTCATTTTTGGTTCTCCTCTGGACCTTCTTCAACAAACCCGTGCTTTGTTTTGTTTCCTTTTTGAAGTACAGTGACCAGGAAATTGTACACAGATAAAACAAGAAGAACTTCCTAGTCAGCAATCTTACCCCATCGGGGCTTAAAAAAAGGAAATAGTGCCGAACTGAAGAGAAGTAGTCATAGTGATTTAAATCATCCTGCCGTCATTTCCTCTGCAAATTTCCTTTGGCATTAGGGCCATTTCAATGGCAGAGAGGCAGCAACACTGGGGTTATGTTGACCTTCCTGAGGCCTGACCTATAGGCCACCTAGTTCTTTACAGCCTGATCCCTAATGACCCCAACAGGACCCTGGGGAAAGGACCAAGGTAGAATGTCTGCTGAGTCCAGGAGCCCAGGCTTCTCTCTCGTCCATGTCCTCCCACATTACTTCATCGGTTCAGGGGTCTGCTTTGGCTTCTCTGACTCTCTTGAAGGGATTTCCAAATACCCAGCTAAGGGAAAGTCTGTGTAATGTACTCTGAAGTCCGCGGACGAAGGGTTTACTCCTCACACCCTCTCACCTCTGACAGGTCATCTCCTCCCACAGTTCGGCTCCCCTAGTTCAGTGGCACAAACACATGCTTTTGGCTAATCTTCTCGGAGAACACTACCAAACAGCTCAGAGCTTCTTTATGAATTTTTCGGAGTATGACATCTGATCTTCAAGGATCCCGCAGTGCAGGCTGTTCTGTAGTTGAAAAGACAGGATCCTTCCCAAGGGACTTCCAGAGATACAGGCCAGTGACTGAACAGAAGTAAGTACCTAAATACGCAAGTGAAATGTTCCCATTTATTCCACAAAGTGCTGAGTGGGAGTCGAACAGGAGTTACAGGGGGAGGAAAGGAGAAGCCAGAGGAAGCTGGTATCTCTCTTCTCATTAGTGAGGGAAGAGAAAAGCTTAGTGCAGAGAACGTGCACGAAACAACTGAGCCCCGTGGGGAACCGCGCGGGCTCCGAGTGGAAGGGGTGGTGGAGAAAGGCATCAGGTAGAACCTAGAGAAGGGAGGAGGCAGGAGCGGGGGGTCCACTGAACGAATGAGCACGCGGGAAGAGACAGATGGAACAGCAGGAACGGCCCCGCTGAATAACTTTGAGATTTCCATCAAATAGGGCAGATACTCAAATTTAGAATGAAACTATTATTTGGATAGCTGCACCGAAAGTCAGAAAATTCATCAATTGCGATTCTACTTCCAGTTCTGGCTTGATGGTTATAGAAGTTTTTAGCCACGAGTAGCCATCTAGACTCAGGAGTTAGATAGTAAAGGGTTTTTGTAACGACGTTACAGCTATTATGTCAAAATTCATCTCACTTGCAGGCTAGATGGGTTTTGTTTCCTAAAAGCGGCTTATTAATGCCCTCTTGTTGTACACCGGAAATCAGAGTGATGAGGCCCTCTTATACAAAAAGGACCAGGGACAGATTCTCAGGTGTGTGTCCACAAAGCAGGGGTCTGTGAGTGTCAGGGGTAGGACAGAGGGTAAGAGAAGGTCATATAAGAGACTACAGATAAGAGATCTGTCCATCCAACCATACACATAGTGTACAGACTACAGTATCATAAACTTTTACAGTAACAGCTGTTTTTAATCGCATCAGTAACCTAAGCCCAGTCTCCAAATGACAAAAGAAAGTTTCTCAAACAAGCAGAAACTTTTACCAGAGGCAGGAATTTTTAGAGTGCACCCGGGTAGGGGCAGGAGTGCTCAGCTGTGCAAGGCAATGTGGTGGGAAACTTGCTTGCATGGAGTGATGCTGGTGGTACCCAGGCCAGGGCATCTCACAATTAAAGCACAAGCCTCTCGGGTTTATAATATGCAAGTTCTACAGCGACGGACTCAGAGGAAGTCAGGTGCACTCTCATTTGCACTTTACCTGAGATTACATATCTCTGTATTCCCTTCTACGGCATCGAATAGTTTCCATTTCCAGCCAAAATCCGTCCTGAACCTTGATTCATTGTAGTCTACTAGCAATATATTTTCTACCGCCATCAAAATTTTGAGCTTTAATTATTTTCTCTGGTTTTTATGTTATTCTTTGCTCAATACTAAAATATAATATGGTACATACTCCTGGCAAATAACTTCTAAGAGTTTTATATTATTTCTAGAACAGAGTAGAGACAGCCAAGAAAATTAGCTGTGGAAATGCTCCAAATGTCTAACATTTGACTCAAATTCAAAGATTCAAAAGCAAACTATGCTGTATTTCGCCTTTACTACTTATGTAGCTAATAGGCAACAATATGGCAAATTTTTCTGAACATCACCTTCTCTCATTAGCCCGCTCATTTAGAACTTCATCTCCCTTTCTGTATTACACTGTGGCATGGCAGGGTTGAATGTTTCTCCATTTAACTCCAGCCAATACAGATCTTCTCCTCTGCTTTAATATGTTCCATCAAATGGATGTTGGTTGTAAGGAACTTGCAGGCACTGGTTTTTATAATGGGCTGGTTTTCAGCAAAGCAATCACCAGGCTTTCGGATCTTCTGAGACTGATGTGATGGTCCTACAGAGTGTGATCCCGCAGTCCATGGCCCCAGCATCCTCCACCCAGTTCCAGCAAGACTTGAGTTGCCATGTGTAGGGAGGGTTGGGAAGTGTGTGGATATAGAAGATATAAAGGACAACAGAGGCTACGTTTTCTTTGTTTACAAATTCTCAGTCCCAAAGTAATCGCAGCACCTAGTGAGTGCCACGATGGACATCTTACAGATGAGAGCAGGGCCCCCAAGCAGAACAAAGCAGTGCGGGCCAGAATTAGAAAGCTTTGAGATCAGAGAGGCATCACGCAGGGTAGTGTAGGGACTTCTCTTGGCTTTAGGGGATGTTTCCAAGGACAAAATTAGAGTGATTCTGCATGGACTGTTGCGTGTCCCATCCCCAGTGCCTCCCAGGGCAGCTGGAATAGGGCCATATTCATAACGATCACACAGGGAAGAACAAAGCAGCGAAGGGTCCTCTCCACTAGGGCCTGCATTACGCTAACTTCTCTGTGTCAACTGTTGTCATCTGTGACATGCGGCTAGGGCAGTAAAGCCCTATTTGAAGAGCTGTGTGGGTTCAAGAGCTAACAGAAGTGAAAGTACCGGCATCCTGGAAAGGCTCCAACAGCCTATCACCACCACGAATACTACGATTATTACTATTCTTCCCCCTACCAAACGATTCCATTTGACGGCTGCCCTACAGTCCTTCGAGGTAGTACACAGAAAACACGAATTCAGTCATTCACCTTCAGAGGATTCTGTGTTGCCAAGTTAGCACAACACAGCCATCGGCACGGTATTAGTTGTGAAGTCAACCGGGCGCTGGCTTACTAAAAACTCTCTACCCACTCAGTCTATTTGACAATTACGGCAGACAAGCTCTGCTGAACAGCATCCTCTAAAGG